GGGGCCACATGAACTCAAGGACACCGTTTGCTTCTTTTCCTGAAAAGTGGGACGGCCCGTGCCCCGTTGGCCCCGTCCCCCGCCACGAGCCCACTCGCGCTCTCAAGTTTGAGAACTGGTAAATTAGGCTTTTCCTTCTTTCCCTATTGAACTTTTTCAGACGCTTAACACATCTAACTCTGAGCACAAGCTTAACCCTTTCAGACCTGGCGTCCATTCCAATGGACATTGCATTTACATTGTGTCTATGGCAATTTCTTAGGATTCTCGTGTCTTTGCGCTCCATATCATGCTACAATGGGCGCAATTATGGATGGCTCAGTTCCATCAGAGGCCTTCTTTCACCCATTAGTGTTTTAATCTGTATAGTTATTTAATTAAATGTATAATATATAATATATGGTATGATATGGTAAATTTATACAAAATATAAAGACCACATATAAAGGCATGACAATTTCAATTACAATCACGAAAGAGCTCAAAAATGCAAAAAAATAATATTATTCCGATAGCGGCCTTGATTCAGGTCTGAAAGGGTTAAGCTTGTGCTCAGAGTTAGATGTGTTAAGCGTCTGAAAAAGTTCAATAGGGAAAGAAGGAAAAGCCTAATTTACCAGTTCTCAAACTTGAGAGCGCGAGTGGGCTCGTGGCGGGGGACGGGGCCAACGGGGCACGGGCCGTCCCACTTTTCAGGAAAAGAAGCAAACGGTGTCCTTGAGTTCATGTGGCCCCCCCCCCCCCCCCCCCCCCACTCACACTTTTTCCATCCACACTTTACGTTTGTGTCCCGAAGGATGCCTCCACGAGGGATTTGCGTTCCGGTTCTGCAAGCGATAAAAAGGGAACTCTCTGTCGGGTCCTCCTTTCAAACCCTCCAACGCCCGCTGAGCTAGTCGAAAGTATCCGCGGTTGAGTTTCCGGCTGTTCTGCAAACGAAGGGGCCTCATTTAAACGGCCATGTTAAGCTAAGGCAACGAGGTGGTTTCTATTGTATTCAATGTTACGATGTAAATGTGAATATACTCAAAAGAAAATAGAGTATCAGAAGTCTTCAGCCAGGATCCATTTTGAATCGAAACCCGTTAAAGAAGAAATTTAAAAGCAATACTCGTAATGATGTATCGTGAGAGGAAGATGCAACGGAGCGACCGTTTTTTCCAGACCTCCCATTTGAAATTAGTGTATTTGAATTTTGATTAACTTCATACGTTTTTGGCTTCACGATGTACTTTTTCAAATATACTTCGTACATTTTCGGTAGATTGAATGTGTTTTACTTTGCAAACCGAATTTAAAAATTAGATTCGAAAATGTACTAGATGAGTCGAGTTCTCTTTTGAAAGGTAACTCGTGGATGGTAAATTAGATGTCGCTGCAACACAGGATTTCTTTTACTTAAGGCAGAAGGCGGAGGGTATCACATGTGCAAAATCCAAGATGGGTCTTATGTGTGCCGACGGCGCGTATTTGTGAGCCACTGCGTGTAGATATGCCTACCAAGGTACTTTATACATTTTCGGCACGGGATTACAAAGTTTTGTCGCAAAGAAACTATAATAGCTCGTTACATAATGGGACGAAGGTCACGCGGAAATCACTCAACGCTTGCGTCAGGCTAGACTTAATGAAAACGCAATGTTTTAAGTTGGACACCGATTTTGGGTAGTGAAGCCTAGGCATCGGAAAAAGTGAGTAGTGTAGCGTCGGCAAGTAAACGGCTGGCTCTAAGATGCCGTGGTTTAGCGTTAGTGCATTTTAATGACACTGGGCCTTGCATGTATATGAACCGGCAACTTTTGGGCAAGGCGAACGTAGTTTGGGAGGGAGGGAACCTCCTCTTCCTCCTTTTGCTTGTAATGTTAACTCCCTCAGATGAATTAGGCCTTATAAGTTGAATGTATAAGTCCTACTCCAGGATATGAGCTCTTCTATCTCCGAAGGCAGTGGGACTTGGGCCGCAGGAGGTGTAGGATTGGAACCCTCATCCCTGTATAGCTCAGGAGCTCATCCTACACTAAATCTCTAAGGCACCCTCTGCCATATGATGACCATCCAACTTCTTCTTATGTTTTCACTAGTAGGTCATATCCACATATGGGTAGTTGTTTTGTTCTGCTTTGACCACAATGGTTTCCAGGAAGAAAGCATGCCACAGTGTTGTTATGCCGCATAACTAATACATTCCAAAATACTAGGGATTGGGACTCCCCAAGTTTTATACATTGGAAGATGTGGGCCCAATGGGTAATGAAGCAGGGATAATGGGAAGAGATTGCAGTGCACATTGCGTGCACAGGGAAGGCCCTTATATGGAAAATTTTAGTGTCTGGAATCAGAATGAAAATGGGAATGAAACTGTAAGTGAAAGTGGACAAGGTTTCACATAAGTTCTTGCAGGTCAGCCGCTTCTCTGACATACCCATCTTCCGTGTTCCAGTGTTGCACATAAATTACCTACAGTGCATATCGAATGAATTCACTCCCCCTGCAGTGGGTGGTGGCACTGCTGGCTGTGAGAAGAGAGTGACATCTGTTTTTCATCCCATAAACAGCTAAACTATCCACATTTGCGATCACAGCAAGGTACCCAACTACCATAGACCAGAATGATACCTTGAAGGAGCTTCGCAAACTTGACATAATACAGCTGATCAGAATGAGCAGGAATCAACATTCCTTTAAAAAGTTCGAGTGAAGTGAACCTTGAGGAATGTCAGAGCACCTAAGTAAAAATGATATAGTCACCTTGTCATTGACACAATCACAAACTGTCATATATATAATTCTGAAGCATTTTTATTTTTACCTTATAATTTTATACATGAAAAGACACTTGGAAAAAATTCACATTTCTCAATATTCTGGAAATCTGAAGATGAGTTATACAAAATTTTGATTGTTAACTTTCTGAATCCTTTTCCCTAGCCTTGGTTTTCACAGAAGCTTTCCTTTCCCCTCTAGGAAAACCTCATATGGCAGACGATCTACGTTTGATGTACTTTTAACAAATAGGAAGAAATGGGCTAGAATCCAGTTGATGCCTAAGTTAATTAATAAAATTGATAAAATGTAGAAATGCAAGAAATTTGAGGATAGAATGTAAATGAGGAGAAAAGCTGAAAATACTTTTTATTGGACACAGTACTCAAAGCACAGTTGTATTTTCCCTCCTCTGAGTCTAAATAATGATTATGAAATCCTTCGTTAGTCAACGGGTATCATTGATGTGATCAAAATGAATGAGAGAAAGAAGTTAGGGGCATGTCATTATCTCCCCAAAAGAGTCTTTCATAAATTAATACTATTTCTTTTATTGGAAGACTAAGCGAGATTTAAATGGAAAACTCAGAATGGATGAATACACTTTCCCCAACTGCTTAGAATGCAGGACATAGTGACGTGGGTGACATCTACCTTGATTAGTTGTTATTAGTAGTTACAGCATCCGCAGATGCATCATAGAAAAGCATGGCGAGTCATAGGAGCCCATAGTAAGAGGGGGGTGAATTCATTCGATAAGCACTGTAGTCAGCAAATTTCATGCTGAGTGTCGTTTATTAACTGGGGAACAGCAGCCTAGAATTTCTTGGAGAATTCATATGTAGTAATTGACAGAGAACTGTTAGATGTCAGGCTTGAGAGACAGTGATCTTTTTCAATGGCCTGTTGGTGATCCCAAAACTTATGTGCCAGGCTGACAGTAACTTACTACACCACTCATTCCTTGGCCTATGAACAAGATTATAGAATGAACATTAAAAATCCCATGCCGAAAGTAGGTCACTAGGTCCTTAATGGGTCCATTAGTTCTGGTGTATACTAAACTGTCTCTGATTTATTAATGCTCAGTATTAGTTGTCAAAGCACCTTGTTTAATGAAATTATGCCTTTGCAGAGAAAAATAATTGGTCATCTGTCTCTCCTCATGTACTGTAGTGAATGTTGCTTCTCTGATATACCTTTGGAGGTTTCTTCGAAGGCATGAACATGAAGTTCTGCTCAGGCAGATTCTTGCTGTGTATCATGAACAGGTCTTCCTGAAAGAGCTTGGCCAAACTCATGAAAGTAACGCAACTGTAAGAGGTTATGACCTTGCTTTGAAGCTTAAATTTTAAATTTGAAGTCGAGATGGTAAGTTCGTCTTTTGCTTTCTTCTTTTTAGTATTAGTTCTAAGGGTAAAAGAAGGGTGACCTTCCCTCCTAGAATTAGAAGCAGTGCTAGGGATGCTGCTGAGATTTCCTTGTGTAGATATGCAAAACATACACTATACTACAGAAAAAGTCACTAGAGTTGAGGTGCTAGGTTTTTGTTCTTGTCCTCTTCACAATAGAATAATTTGATGACCTATTCTTGCCTTCCATAAAGTAAATGTTGCCTTTTATTTTATTCACTTCGAGATTTTAAGACTTTAAGCCTAAGCCTGCTTCTTCAGAAGTTGGGATTATCTTGCTCTTGTTTTCTTGGTGAGAGATGAATCAAGGCAGTTTATCTGGAGTTAAAATTGAGAACAGTGGACCAGCCACTGGAAATCATTCACCAATGGCTTCATATGGTAATGCTCATCAAGGATATGGGAATGTTCTACACCCTGAGATAATTGACATCAAGGGATTGGAATCAGAATTGGGAAAGCTGAATCAATCGGATTTTCCTACCATCTGCAAACTTGTCAAGCAGGAATTACAACGAATCAAGACTGGCGAGCGAGATGTTCCTCGCTTCTTAGATGTAAGAAGTGTTCGAGATACTAAAGCCATTGTGAAGGTATATCTTCCTGCCGATGAATTTCCACATGTCAATTTTGCTGGGAAGTTGCTGGGTCCTAAAGGAACAACTCTGAAACGTCTCCAAGAGGAAACAATGACCAAAATGGCAGTGTGTGGTCGAGGGTCTATGCGTAATAACAAGGCAAAGGAAGATGAACTGAGGAGGACTGGTGATAATAAATTTGCCCATTTGAATGATCCTTTGCATGTTTCCGTCATGGCTTATGCTCCACCCGTAGAGGCATATGCCCGCATTGCATATGCATTGGCTGAACTGGCTCCTTTCATGTATCCAGAGCCAGGAGAAATGATGATGATGCAGAAACCACCAGGAATGATGAATCAGGGTGGTCCACCACGAATGATGGGTCCACGACCGATGGGACCTGGTCCTATGCCTCAGCATCCACAAGGGCCTGGTTTTGGGATGGGTATGCCCAATCCCGGGCCAGGACTTGTTGGACCAAGGCCAGTGAATCCAATGATGTCACAAAGGCCACCACCTCCTGCACCAATGAACCACATGGGCATGGGCCCTGGGGCAGGCATGCCTAATCCCATTCGACCAGTAGGGCCACCCCAAGGTGGGATGCGTATGGCTCCACCAGCAATGCGAATGCCCGCACCACATATGGAAGACCCTGCCAAGAAGGCCATGAGTATTTTGGAAAGGATCAAGACAAAGCCAAGTGGTGATGTCGATCAGTATGGTGGAATTACAGGAGCTGGCTCATGGGATCAGGGTGGGTATGAATATGCTCCAAATGCATCTTACATGGGTGAGTTTCTCTTATTTTGCCTTCTTTCCTGAAGTTGAATGCAATCTCATTCCATTATTAGAGTCAAAAGTTGGTAATTGAGAACTTTCTGAAAGGAGAGTCCCTCATATGTTGTTTATTGATATATTTATATTGAAGGCTCTGGGTATGGTGAAGGATATGGAATGGAGGCTGATGGTACTGGAAGAGGAATGAAGGTTCCATCCTCAGTTGTTCCAAACTTCAGGATGAATCCCTACTGATGTCAGTGTGAGTTGACTGACATTTGTATGTGTGAACATAACCTCTGCACATTTTTTCATTTACTCTTGAGCCTTCCTGATCAGATTCAGCATTTCAATATGTCTCTCCTCTGAGCATTCCCAGATTTACAATATATTAGTTTTCCTTTTGCTGTTTTGCCACACTTGTGACATCACTTTCTAAATCCATAGCAATAGAAACATGACTGGTATTGTTACAGTGACTGGTATTGTTATGGCTTCTTTCTGCTCTATATAGGAAAATCAACTTTTTTTTCATGTTGTTCTTGTGAACTTCACTGTAATAAATGAATCCCTTTGATTGAGATAGAAAATGCTTATTTTCAAGGTATGAAGGAGAAATAATATGGTTTCTTTACATTTGTCCAATTCTAATTCAGATAGCTACTAGCCATTATAGCTTTTCTTTCTCTGAGCTTGAATCATTTTAATGCATTCTTTAAGTTTAAAAAATTGCAGTAAAACTCCTGCCTCCTAGGAATGGTAACTTACCATCTGTTCTACATTAACTAAAGTGAAAATAACTCATTTTAATTAGCTTAATGTATACTTAATACTTAGTGGAATACCTTTTGCCATAAACTTGAGATTCTTTTCCATTCATTAGATTTTCATGCAACATGTATGTTTCTTAAGAAAGTTTATATCTACAGTGATAGAATAATCGGGTGAACCCTTTGTGTTACCAAGTGAGCAATTGAGGAATATATTGATAATTACACTACACATAAGAGTGCACATTTCAGTTGCAAGCATACATACAAACATTTTTGAACCACTCATCCCACCCTTATGGGATGAGTAGACCCAAGAGCATCTTTCAGGGTTTGCAACCCTGGGCAACTGAAGTTGCGAGCCCTATTCACAATGCAGAGTCCTGTGGTGACAGAACTGCATGAATTTGTGGACTGGGAAGGAATGAAGATTCTTTCTTGGTCTGTAATGAGTGTCAGCTAGTATAGTACAATGCTGAATTGGGATAGATAGACCCTTAACATTTGACAATGTACAGGGTGGGGCAGGTAAATTGGGACAAACTATAATGGAAATTAAAAAGACATGTTTTGCAAGCAAAAATCAATATATTGAAATGAAAATTGGCACAGAAGCAGTTCAAATGATACAGTTTCGA